ACAGGTGGCATCCTATCACAGTTCCACGCTGGAATTCACTGAGCTCCTGAGAGCGACCCATTCTTTCACAAATGTTTGTAAAAACAGTCTGCATGCCTAGGTGCTTGAATTTATACACCTGTGGCCATGGAAGTGATTGGAACACCTGATTCCAATAATTTGGATGGGTGAGCAAATACTTTTGGCAATATAGTTCAGGCCTGGGAGGGAAACAGCCCTATTCTTTGCTCCTGTTCATGCATATCTATCAAAATGAACCGCTAGGTTTCCTTTCAAGGTCTGAGCGCCAAAGACAAAGTAATTGTATCAATACATTTATTTTAATTGTCTTTTTTCTTCATGTTTTTTCAGATTAAGCTAATAAATTTACATGTTACTTTGATGAAACTCTTAACTCTGACAGGAGGTAGTGTCACTTTGTCAAACACTTTACAGGAATAAACTGTGTTTCTGATAGAATGTGGAAAGAGAAGGGGGCTTGATCTGAATCACAGCAGGCAGGAGGGCACCTGACTGAAGTACCCCTTCACTAGAGGGGAAACACATGCTAACACTTATTTACCTGACCTGTTGCTATTTGTGTGCTTCACTTCATCATACCTGTGAAATTGTCTGTAATTAATTTCAGGTTACCAACAATCAGTCCAGCCGAGCTTCAGTCTGTAACATGTTTCTTCTTCTTTGCTTCTCTAGACTACACTTTGCTCCTCCATAGATTAGGTGATCTAAGTGGATTTCACTGCTGGGATCAAAGGGACTAGCAGCTGTCTAAGATGATCGGTTCAGCCTGAGCTCAAGACAAAGCACAGAATCCAGGATTAAACCGCACACATGTCATCGGAAACGACCCTTCTCTAAGGTGGTCGATGGATTTGAATGTATAAAATGTGGTGTGGTGGTTTAGAGAGTGTTGGAGAATTGACAACATTGGGATAAAAATGTTTGATGAAGGTTCTGGGTCAGTGCATCTGGGCACCATCCCCTTTCTGAATGCCATAATACGCGCTGATCCAGATTTAGCCGAGCTCAGTGCAAGCAGAACGGCAGCAAGTCGGACAGGGTCTATTTTTGAAATCTCTCACACCCTCTGCTCCTTTTTTTCTGTCATCTCAGGAAACAATGTCAGCTGTGCTCAGGGTTCAGGCCTAAGCATACCACCGGGGCTGCTTCACCCATCCCCGGCACCATGCAGCTGCTGGCTGAGCCCTCCTCTCATATCACTGAGGGTCGTGTGTCGCCTTACAGGGATGAGGGGGACAGCTGGCTGGATGGGTGCAGCTGTGCTGGGTAATGGAGAGAAGGATGCCTGACCACCAAGATGGACGTTTATGGAGGCTGAAGGCTTGCGTTTCATCCGATGTATATCAGTTAAACATAAATCAATAATCAACGTCATATAAAACTGTCTAGTCTAATTTATTAATCTATCCTCCTGATCCAGAATCACCTTTTGCCTAAATATTTAATAATAATCAATATTTCTAATTCTCATAATCAGGTCTAGAGTAAAAAATGTCTATAAATGAAGTAAATTATATTTAGAAACATTATAGGGAAGGATTTTTGTAATCAGGAAAGGAAAAAGTGTCCCAATCTCTTAAAACAACAACGGTTATATTTCCACAGCATGAGTTTTAGGAAGTAAATAAAATATTTCTGATGATCTCAAAAATTGCCAAAAAAAACTGCTGATAAAAAGATGATAATAATTAAAAGAGGGAAATCCATATAATATTTAAGCACATCAGTATGTAACTATTATAAATATTTACTTTGGTTCTGCCACTGGTTTAAGTTTGATATTTCTTTTTTTTTAATACATCCAGAAACAGATAAATTTCTCAATGCTATATACTTGCTGCTTTTTTTTTTTTGCTAATCCATGAAAAATTTTGCAATATTTCCAGTTGAAAATAATTCAATATTATAGAAATTTGCTGAAAAATGGCCCCTTTTGGCTGTTGACTTTTCATTGGAGTGGAAACACTGTAAAAAGCTTAAAGGGATCAGAAAAAAAAAAAGCTTTCATCACCTTTGCTGGTATTTCTGACAGATTTAGCATCTTTTACTCAATCGTAGCATATTTGGGTAAATTAGGCTTGGATTGACAGAGAATTAACCTTTGCTCATGTAGGAAATTAGAAACTTTTTTTTAATATCTTTTGCTTTGCACTGATAATGTAATCTCTATGGATACATTTGATCAGTGGCAGTTCTTAGACAGATGGTGTCCTGGGGAAACTCCTCCCTCTGGACCCTCAAACCCCACCCTCGGTGATTTAACACACTTCTTCATGCTGAAGCTCCACCTAACCTTAAAGGTATTGTGGAGGATCTTCTCGAATTAAAAAAAAAAGCCCTCTCCACTTTTGAAAAGAAAAATGTGCGTGCAGGAGCGTGCATTCTCATCGTGCATGCTCTGTTTAAAAGTTGCTGTTCTCAAAGCTTACTTTGTCCAAACATCCGGCCTAAATCCCTCAATCACTATATAGAGGGAACTCAGTCGACTTACCGTTCGGACGAATGATCACTTCCCTATTGGTCAGCTGGGCGTTTGCTGCGCCATCTTTGTTATTAGACGCCGCTGTTGGGTAGCGGCAGCCTATGGCGACAGTAGGGACCTGTGACAGCAAATCCCATAATGCTTTGCGAGGAGAGCTCTCCACCCAAAACGTTCCGCGATATATCTGCCTCTTCTGAGGCCTTTCTTTTCTTCTCATACACTTTTGACACTTAATCCCTTACGACCCGTAACCATTTTTTAAAGAACCACGGTGAGAAAAGTGAGCTTCAATGATTATCTGAAACCGTAGCTCACCAAAGATATACGCCCGAAACTGCGGATGTGCAGAAAAAGATAGCTAACGGGACGAGCATGGCCTTCTATTGGACGTTAACACATCATCAGAATGATTGACAATTAGGAGGACCACCTATTAAGATGATTCACCTGGAAATAAAACATTGTCCTTTATACCTTTAACCTATTTTCTTTCTTTTTTGTAGTTTTTTAATCTTCTGTCAATCGTTTTGCAATGGAAGGGGGTTGTGGCAACCAATGACTCATCATTTTCTTGGTCTCTGTGATAACCCGTGTTTGGTAAATTGCTTTTAAAGAGGTAAGAAAAGATTATTCTCTGAGTTTTTAAGTCCAGGCTGGTATTTCAACTCATCACCTTGCTGCAATTGAATGATCCATTGATTTGTAAAACAAAGGTTTAGCTTTAAAAGGCTTCACCTCTCTGGCTTTCTCCATCTCACTCTGTAGGACCTGCTTGGCCACTTCCAGCTCCTGAGTCTTCTCCCGCAGCACCTCATTTTCCCACTCCAGCTGGGAGTTTTTCTTCTGCACCGTCTCCAGCTCATTGTAAAGGCGGAGGGAGACGCTTTTTGCAACCTGAAGGTGGAAAGAAAAGATTGTTACAGCAACTCCAGTATGGAAAGAAAGCAGCGTTGCTATCACTCAGCAGCAGTCGTTACTTTTAATGAGCGCATGCAGCGCGGTTTCTGCAGCAGCTGGCTTGGCTGATGGGATTTACAAGGAAATTCTTGTGACGGGAATTCTTCATAGGAGTGAATGGAGAGGGGGGAGTGAGCGTCAGGCTGTCAGGAATCCTACCCCACACCACAGGGTTCAGAGAACACCCGTTTGACTGCCAACGTTCGACAGCCTTTGAGGTTTCTGATAAATGTGACTGCTTTTATCATGGGGAACAACTTACCGCGTAATTACAATGCTGTATGTTAAAAATATAAACAGGAAGCATGAGGAAGCCATTTCAGCATAATGAAATGACTGTGGTCCTGGAGAACAGCATGAACTACTTTATAGCACTGCAAACATCCATGAATCAGGGAACAGTCAACTGATTGTATTCATAGCAGTCAGTATGAGCAAGAGTTTAATAAATTAGATGTTTTGACTTAAATCCCAATGATTCACACAGAAAAAGTCAAATGTTTATTGTGAATATGAGCAAATTTCTCCTGACTCCAAACCTTTATGTCGTGCTCAAGGCTCCTGACCAGCTCCCCGTCCACCTGCCCCGTCTGGGCCACCCGGATGCTCCGCCGCTCAGCCTTACGGAGACGGTACTGAAGGATACGGCAAGTCTTCTTGGCCTGTTCAAGTTGCAGCCGCAGCTCCTGTAGCTGGTACACCTCTTCCTCCTGGAACATGTCCCGCATCTCCAACATCTCGCACCGGAGCTCCTCCACTTCATCCTGTGGTTGTCAAAACAGATGCAACACCTTATAACTCAGGAAAAGAGTTGATGTTTTATGAAGAGAAACTGTTTTGGTTTAAGTTTAAAGATCTACAAACTTGATTAGTCTGTGCTATTTTCCGAGGCTAAAGAAAACCTCTGTTTTAGGAAAGGAAGGGTTTAAGATCCCTCCTTTGATTTGTAGCACTGGCTTTTAAGCTATTTATAAAAAGTAGGTCAGAAAATACCAGGATTTCCAAACATGACCATTTTCACATAGTTTGATGTTATCACAAAAGTGAAGAAAAGATTATAAAATATTCTTGTCAAATCACATTATACAATAAATGTTAGCTTTAAAATAACAGACAGATCCCTAGAAGTCAGATTTCCCAACAGGAAAGGGGAAAATCTCTAGATGTATGGATACTGGTTTTCTTTTTATGTCCGTGTTTTCAGTATTTCCTTGTTATCCAATTATATTCAATAAGGTCTTTCCATATTCCGTTGTTGCTATTGGATTCAGATGGTTTCATATTAGTCAGTTATTTTGTATCTGTTTTGTAAAAATCTCATTTCTGTCCTTTGGGCTTTTCTAATTATGTTTTGAAAACACATGTTTGTCTTTTATCCTTTGGAAAAATATTATTTGTGGGTCTGTTCTTAATTTCCTGGCTGATTTATTTATTTTATTGTTCTTTGTGTTTTCCTCAGTTACATTCTCTCCTCTGTATTTTAACAAAGCATAACATGACAGAAAGTAACAGGCTTTGCAGAGCATAATATACATTTGTACTCCTCTTTATGGGGTCTAAACAGTAGAACCTTAGATGCCACACTAAGTTGAAATTTCTTCAAAAAATATATATGTTAACGGTCTTATCCTTACCAGTTTCTTAGAGATCATGCTTTAAAACGTGAATCGGGTTTTATTATAAAATATAAAGTAAAGAGCATAATTAAAATGCAGAAATTAGGGATGCATAATTGCACCTGCAGAAAATTAGGAACCATTTGTAAATTGTGTACATATTTCAAACTGCAATCTAAATGTACCACATTTATGTTTCATATTTTAATGCATAATTTATTTTACCAAGGGCTCACATGAAGTTTTTTCTCAGTTACCACACCCTTACAGAGGATTTACTTAAATTTGGATATACACCAGTAAAGACCATTTAGTGGTTTATCATAATACCAGTACCCACAATAAATGTTTGACATGTATTTAATTTTTTTGCAGAATGGGTCAACTTTTAATTATCATTCTAATGAATGGCTTTTCAGAAGGGAGTGAATAGGATAGAATAACATGGAATAGAATAGAACAGAATAGAATAGAATAGAGTATAATTAAATAGAATACAATAGAATAGAATAGAAGAAAATAATAGAATATACTAGAATAGAATTGAACAGAAGAGGACAGAATGGCACAGAATTAAATAGAATAGAATAGAATTAAATAGAATAGAATAGAATTACCGGTAAATAGAATATAGAAAATCACTGTATTGTCCCACAATAGGGAAATTGTATTGTTACAGCAGCAAAAGAGTATAGTAAAAGTGGTCACACAAGTGTGGACCTAACAACCTGTATTAAAATTAACAGAATAAGTGACAAAGTTAAAAAAATAAAAAATAAACAAATAAAATCCTGTACTGAACAGTGTTTTTAGAATAAATTAAAGCTTAAGAGACATTAGATTTTAAGGAGACCCCTTGTTGAACCCAACCAGGCATAATTAAAGTGGAATTCTGGATTTTGAAAAGACTAAACTACCTCATGCTGTCAGGGTCCCAGACTTGTAGGGGTCACATTGAAACCTACTGTAATTAAAAAGGGAAATTAGCTCACTGAGCTCTGACTTACTTTCAAATACTCGTTCTCTGACCTCAGGTCTTCCACCTCCCTGACCAGGTCCTCGGCTGTCTCCCCCATCATTAGATCCATGAAGCCCCCCGCTGATCCACGCAGCCCCGCTGCTGCAGCCGCATCCGGCTGGCGCGCGCAGGTATCTGCTGCAGGTTTGGCGCACGTTGCGCCCTGACGCGTCCCTTCGCTATCCGGGCTCAAATAAGCTCTGCCGTCGATCCAGCTTAAGTCGTTATCGCTGCTGGGAGAATCGCGCTTATTGCTCTCTGAAGAGGAGTCGGAGATCTCTGAGCTGCTGTCCGTGGAGGAGAGCTTTCCTGACGGGCAGCCAGAGTCTTTGCTCAGGTCTTCTGAGGCATTGCTGGCGTCCGACAGTTTCCTGTGCGCGCCGGGGCTCCCGGGGCTCTCCATGGGGACTCCTGCTTTCCCAGCTTGCTTTTTCTGTAGCCCGGCTGCTTTCATGTCTCCCTTGCTCTCCATCTGACCAGACTGTGGAAAAGAGCAGCTTAATTCATCTTTACCGATCAGATCCTTCTTCTTCTTCTGGATCAAAGCCTGCTGCTGCGTCCTGGACTGTTTCTTTACGCTTTTATCAGTGTCTTTATTCATTCTCTTGTTTCTCTGCCCTGACCTCTTTTAACAAGGATAGGATTTTCTTTTTCAGTGAAACGAGCAAATATTTGTTTACAGCCTCGCAGCTCATTGATGGAGGACTTCTAACTTAGAGCTCTGCTCCATCAGGACTGGAACTTCACCACTGTGCGCAAAGACAGAAATAATAAATCCCATTGGACAAAAGGACTTCCGGTTACTGAACAAAATAAAACACATAAGGAAAAAAGTGCACGAGGATTTTTTTTTGGTTTTTCCCAAAACTTTAGTCACTATTTCCCAAATTATTTGCAGTAAAAATGAATTACTCAATTTGACTCATAAATCCAACACCTCTTATAAATATCCAATAAGGGCCCCAGACATTTTAACAATCTAGACTTCTGGGTAATTTCAAGTACAGTCAAAAGATAGTTAGATACAGTTATTTTAATCACTCTAATTTTCAGTCTGTGCATCACGTTTAAACATTAATTTCCAGACCCCTTATTTTTCCCTTAATGATGTTGTCACTCCTCTAAAATGTAATTTGAATAGAATCTAAACATCCTTTATTAGGCCAAGGTGGGGGAAGTAAGGAGGTCATTAACTTAAAATTCAAACAGAAGCATGAAGAGAATATATATATATATATAGATATATATTAAAAAACATAAAGTAAGAATATATACTGTACATTTGGGCATATTTACAAAATAGACAATAGATAAAATACT